TTCCTTGATCTTTTTCTTTTATACTGAGGTGCCCAAAACTGTGCCCAGGATTTGACATGGGGCCATAGCAGTGCAGTACAGAGTGGGACAATCACCTCCCTTGACCAGCTACCTATGCTGTGCTTGAAACACCCCAGCACACGGCAGGTACACCATGGTGTACACACTCTCAGAGCAACAAGGAGGCAAGGAGGGACCAAATCCCATCCGTTCCAGGCGCTTATGGGCCTGTTTGCAGCCACGTAGTCCCCGCAGAGGATGAGGATGCTATGTGCAATACCCAAACCACTTACCTGAAGTGGCGATCTCAAAGACGTTTCCTGTACTGAGGAAGAGGGAGATTTGCAGAAAGGGAGTGAAAGCTATGGAGACCTTTTGTTCCTGTTGATTACAAAAGCAGCTTGACCTCTTAATATCAGTACTCAGGTGTGGGTTCTGTTCAGCTCAACGGGACAAATTCATCTGCCTAAACACAGGCATCATATCATCTGTCTTAGAGTATCTGCAACACCTGTGTGCCTGGAACATAAAACACAAACCTACACAAGGCCTGGGTCCTCTGAAACAGGAACTAGATACCAAGTAAGATACCCCTGGACACATCAAATGGCACTAGCCCTTCTGCATGAGCTACTGAACCAATGTGCACATTTCGGTTGAGCTGAGTAACGTTCTAGGCTTCATTCCAAATAGAGCCCCATTAACTTGAATTACAGCTTAGATACTTAAATTAGCTGCTGATACGTACATGGAAATACCTAGATTGGCGTGTCTTAATCTGCAAACAGGAGGCTTTCCAATGCTTCCATCTCTTGCAGGAAACCAGCACAAAGCAAGCCGAGCCTCCTCTGGGAGAGAGGTCTCACCGCAGAACACCTCTCCACTGCGCTGGCTGTAGCAGCCAAACTCAGGTCAGGCAGCTGGGGACACAGAGTCAACACTTCATGTCCATCAGATGAACATCTAGTTCTGGATTTCCCCATTGCACAGGGCAATTTATAGGGAAAGGGAAGAGCTAAAGTAGACATACGTTAGTCTGTAACATGCTGTACAACCACATTTTTGCAGGCAGCTCATTACTGCCCATTTGCTGAATTAATCAAGCTTCAGGATATCCTAATAAGTGAATTAATCTATTTCCTAAACAAGAATAAAAGCTTCATACTGCCAAAGCATAAACACATCTAGAGGGCAGAAATGATATTGTCATCTTGAGCTAAATATAGACCCTGAACAAAGACAAGTGCACAGAACCAACACTTTTTTTTTTCCCTTTTTCTTTTTTCCTTTGAGAATAATACATAAGCTTTGCTGGAAAGTTGAAAATTTATAAGCATATGGTATCATCTTCAGATCCTTGGTCAAAGAATGTTTTGCCCATATTCACAAATCACGCTACAGGATAACCAGATCCCGATTTGTCAGCACAACTTTATTTCTCAGATAAAGCGGAAGGAAAAAAATCCCCCAAAATAACGAAGTGTCAGAGATGAAAAATACTCACAGATTGACAGACTTTGTTTTACAAATCCAGCTGAAACTTATATGAGTCACTCAGCACTTCCCAAGAGACACAGAGAAACACAGACACGGGCACAAAATCACCACGGGATTTTTTTTTTGCAGTTAGAATGGAAATATTTTACGCAAACAGTTTACTCTATAGTGGAAAACAGGAGGGGTTTTTTTTTAGTGCCAGTTCTGGTTCGTAAGTTTTTTAACTCAAATATTCTTTCATTAAAATTTGCTGGCATATTATAGGGTTTGATAGTATTCCCCATCCAAGCACTTTGGGGTTCTCAGAGCGATAATCAAAGTACGACAGTTGACAGGACGGACACCAGCCAGGGCACATCCAGCCAAAGCCTCTGATGAGCTGATCTGTGGTGAGATGCAAACTACCTGTTGTATCGTGTCTTGAATTCCATACATTGCGTGCACAGAAACTACAGTAAGACACAGAAACAACCCCATGATCACCAGAACAGTCTGGTGTGCTGTGGATGAGCATCTTGCGCTTGACTTGAGTCTGGTATAAGTTTTTCATGCAGTTTGGGCTCTTCCAAGTCTGGATTTTCTAGTGTCTACAATGCAAACGCTTTCATTTATAGGGAACGCTACCAGGGTCATTCCCTCCAGACGACAAGCAACTTTTATGAAACTGGTAGGAGCTTTGCATCTTTGGAGAGTTTCATTTGTAAAACCAAAAAATAAGTACTGAAATGGATCCAAAAAGTTTTGCAGGCATTAGAAAGAGAAACACACTCACAGCTGTACAAAAGTGAAGATACACTATAGTTCCTAAAAGATGGCAGCTTGCAAACATGGGCTGCACGAAGTACAATAAATAGCCAAGTTACAACCCAGATCTGGATAAACCCTTAGTAGAAGAAAGGCAGTGCACAGTGCTTTGTCTAAATTTGCCTAATTTCACTCACAAACCCAATTCAGTACGGTATTATACACCCTCTTTTCTCCCTTTGCCTCACCGAAACGCAAAACAAAACAAGACAGAACTACGCTACATATCCTAGGCAGAAAGCTTACGTTGATCAAAGCCATCTCCTGATTGTACCTTCATTTTGCAGCTGGATTATCCACCTCCGAAATCTGCAAGATCCATTTCCCCTTTATTTTTTTTCAGTTTTCTCTGCTTATTTTATTATCTGTGCGAGGTGCACAGTCTGGGTTTTAAGCACGTTGAGTCTCGTTACAAACAGCCCTCTAGTGAGCCCACAAACTAACTTGGTGGAACCATGTAAGCAAAACCAGTCAGACCGTGTCGGTATTTGGCCTTCCCAAACTTTGGACATGTCTTGTGTGTACCAAATGGCACATCTTTCGAATCACAAAAGACATTGCACCTCTGTATTCGTATCGGCTGGCCTACCACTTTCCCAAGCCTCAATCACCAACTTCTGTCACCCAAGAAGCTACAACTTGAGTCAGTTCTACAACTTGAGTCAGTTCTCTGTATAGTCCTTCCTTCCTTTTTTTTTTGTGCCACAACTTGGAGGAGCTACACACATGGAAGAGTGTAAGATCAACTGAAAGCCACGTTCAGTGGCTTCCGTATATTCTAGTTCTTGGTTGTAAAGCCAGACACGCTACCACATCTGGGCACCAGTATGCACTACCTGTCAGTCCTGTAGGCATGTTTTCTCAGCGTGACTACTCACACTTTATGTTGAAGGGAGAAAAACGTTCACTTCTGCTTCAGCATTTCAGTAATATATTTCCACCAGTCTTTAATTTAATGAATGTGTCATTGTTTTAAGTGCAACGTATTTAAGAACATTTTTTTAGCACTGTAATGCAAGTATTAGCCACCTTTAAGAGGGACAGGGGGAGGGAAGAACTTAAATCAGGTCATAGATGAAGTACCAAAAACATTAACAGAGTTTATCAAAATAAAGTTGGATTTTTTTTTCTTGCATGCACAGGAAAAGCATTTAAATTCTCTCTGCTGTGTTATAAATAAGGAATCACCCATAATGCATTTTTTCCCTTCTTTTTCCTTCTGGAGAAACAAAAATAAGGCAGTGGAAATACTGACATCCCCCACCAAAGAAAAAAAGAAAGAAACAACAACAAAACCCTCAGCATATTTCTTTAAGGTACCTTTTCTATAACTGTTTAGGGTCTATTCTGATACACTTGCTTTTGTCTGAGCTGTCCTTAATTTTCAGAAATTTCCTTCTGATATCAACCAAGACTTGTAAAAGTAGTGCACTACCTGCTATAATCAAAGACAGCAAAACCTAGCCCTAATTTAATTGCAAAAAGCACACATTTAGGGAATACAGGGTTTGTCTAAGGACGATCTTGCAGTTCTTTGAGATAATCTCCTTACTCTGCTCAAAGTCAGTGATGACAGAAGCTGGTCCCTAAGAAGAAATCTGGAAGAGGGCTTTGTTTTGCACAGCAAATACACAGAACTTCTGTCTAGTTATCTGACCCTTGATGCCTAGAGCTGGGGAAAGCATAAATTCAGTTCCAACAAGCTAAAAAACAAGGTCTAAGATGATGGGGTCAGTCTTTTACAGCACTTCCTGAGAATGTTAGCGCCACAAAATTAACGCTACTTAAAAATTAGACTACTGACATCCGAGCGACAGTTCAGAGTGAAACATGGAATGAAACGCCCCCACAGTCAAAAGTACACTAAGTATTGTGTAAAAAATGAGTGACAAACAAGCAGGCATACATATTTGGAGATAATATGTTAAAAACTCTTAATGAAAGGTCCAAACAGTATGGACAGATAAGGAAAAGGAAATAAGTGCCTGGGTCCGACAGCCTGAATAATAAATTTTTAGTGAGTCATCATGATTGTTTACCTCTAAAACTAAAGCATCAGTTCCAAGAGATATCTAAGGAGCACCCGTGCTCCTTCGCTTTCAATGCTATTTGCCTCATAATATCCTCCACAGTTTCTTTTGCAGTATTGATGCAGCTACTCCAGCCTCATGAGCCAGCCCCGATAAAGTTACTAAACAGATTCCAGACCTCAGCCTTCTGTTTGTTAAATACAACTTCCAGCTTGTCCCTCTGTTCCCACAGACAGCCTCTCCAAGGGAGAATCCTTTCAAAATACAGTTTTTAGGCATTAAGACTAAGTACTTCACGAGCCAAAAGATCTTGAATTACCCAAATGGCCAAAGCACTGCTACAAATACATCAGCTATATGTATCTACACATAAATACACAAAGCTCAGTATACCCTCCTTAGACTGCAGAGGATATTTCTGCCCAGATCTACTTGTATACACTTAAGTAAAGAGGAATCGGTGTCCAAAAGTCTGTGCTTTTGAGAAATCTGCAACATTCCAGGCAAAAATTTTGAATATACAGGCTGGAATGTGGAGGAAATGTTGATTCCCAGGCAAACACTTTTTTCTCCTATTTTTTTTAATAAATAGAGAATATATTTTGAGTCTCCTCATGCACCTTCGAAACACACCAGATCTGTAGGAGAAGGAAAGGAGTTTGTACTTACTCGTGGTGTTGTATTTGATCCCATTGAAGAACTCTGGGCAGGGTCTCTCTACTAGTTCCCCCGCAGAGGTTCTGGGCCAGCAGGTCCCGATCTGATCAGTGGTGGCATTGCAGTACGGACCTTGTTCATTAAAAAAGGAGACAGGAAAGGAAAAAGAAGCAGTTGAGAAGGCACAAAAGCGACACACTTTGCATCACAAAGCAAACCGAAGCTTAGCGCTTATAAAGCTCATCCCAGCCCTGCACTAGGTAATTTTTCCTACCATCAAAGCCCAGGAAAGGGATAGAGGAACTCTCTAAAAAAGTCTCTTGTAAATGATCCAGGAGGCTGCAGTTGACATCAAATTCTTCTAACATGAACTGAGATATCGTCACATCCATTTTTCCTCTCGGGACTGCTGCACTAGATGAGGCTCCTTCCCTCTTTTATGCCCTTTATTTTATTTTTTTTTTGCCCCTTCTCCTTTCTTCCTTTCTGGAAACGAACGAGCATCAAGCTGCGGACACCCTGCAATCTCGTGTGCGCGCGTCTCTCTTCCTCGCAGCGCGCTGACAACTTGGCTGAGAGTCTGCGTCTGGCTGTGCAGTTCGATCCTCCAAGCTCTTCTTTGCTTTAAAACAGCAGCTCAGGAACCAATGGGATCACGCTGAGCCCAGAGTAAGGGGCTTGCGTCTCTTAGCCAGCTTCCCTGGTCTAGCAGCTCTCCAATGCCGCCTCACATTGCCAGACTGTCGTATTGCTTTCTCTCCCTCCCTCTCTCTCTCTCACACACACAGACACAGACACACACAGAGGGGATGAGCACTTTTGCAAAACCACTCGCTGCAAATTAGAGCCAGGGAGAAAAGGAAAAGCCATCAGACGAATGTAACTGCTCTGGCTTTTTGGGAAGCGAAACGATTCCTGCCTTTATTGTGCGGAAGGGAGGATGAGCAGAGATGCTGGGACAGGGAGGGGGAAGAAGGGACCCGGTCCAGGAGCTGCAGCACTGGATCCTGAGCAGTCCTTGAGAAAGAAGAGGAATAATAAAAGCTGGAAGGAGGGTGACGGTCTGACAGAATGGAAGCATCTGAACAAAGGACTCGAGTAATGACCCACAGGAGAGGCAGAGTGGGGAGAGTGAGAGAAGGGCTGGGAACCCAGCACGGGAGAAGCAAGGCACAGCATGAACGCATCTTCCAGGCATTCATGCAGATTGGATGGGGTGGGCAGCAGAGTAGGGCAAGGCACAGAGAGCAGAGGAGAGCTCTGGAGTGAAGGATGCATCATGCAGGGGACAGGGAAGAAAAGGAAAGCCACTCTCGTTTTCCAGCGGTAGGAGGGAGCAAGCATTTCAGAAACGATGAGCACCCTGACTGATAAGGAAGAGCCTCTAAGAAAGGAAAGCACGATGTGGGAAAAGAGAGAAGAGCAAAAGGCTTGCCAGATGGAGGTCTGGGGAAAGGGGAGAGATGAAAGGAAGTTTGGAGGAGCTGCCTAGATTGTTGGTCATCTTGGGAAATCAGACCTCGGTACAATGGGAACTGGGTGAAGTTCTACACTCTGGGACATGCTGGAGAGCAGCTTAGAAGTAATCAGCCTTTTTGACTTGCTGCATCATGGTATGAGGAAATCTTTACAAAAAAGTGTCAGAGGATCTAAGGAGGATCATCTAGGATCATGGATTCAGAAGGATCTTAGGAAGCAAATAGAAACTGACTTGTAAGGGAGAAAAGCAAGATAAGTATATAAGCTAGTAGCAGAGGGGAATGCAAAAACTGAAGGGCAGTAAAGAAGCTTTGACAGAAAGAAAGTGAACTGGAAACAAACTCCTGTTCACAGTCTGTGTTCACAGCTTTAGATCAGACATGGTGCTTAGAGCGAGTTGAAAGCAGTGGTATAGGACTTCCCATAACATGTGTCCCACCCTGCAACCACCTGGAGTTCTCCTTTAGTCTTATTTAAGATTGAAGGGATTTATTCTTCACTTTTTGAGGACCAAAATAATTATGTTATCCAAAGAGAGGAAAAAAAACCAAAAAAACAACCCCAAAAAACCAAAACCCCAACACTGGGTTAGAATGAGAAATAAATTAACAACATGCAATGATGAAAGAACTAGCTAGGATTCTGTTTTGCCATGTGGAAACCTGGAGATTTTTTACCATTTTCAGATTGCAATTGGGACAGAGAAAGAGTGCCATTGTGGTTTTGGGCTGAGTATTTTTGTTTTAAGTATGTAAAACTCCACAAAAATAACAAGTGTCCTAACTCTCTAAGCAGCATGATATTCTGAAGCTAGTGAATGCATCTCTCTGTTTCTCTCTCTGGAGCCATGATCTCTTTCCCAAGTGAGTGTTGCAACTCCTCCTGAGAAATTCTCATTTCAACAAGTTGTCCCTTGTCAACACCAGCAGATCTCTTTCTCCCATGAGTTTTTAATCCCAAAAAGCAGGGGAGAAAATTTATTATTTTTCACACAGTATGACCACCACCAACATACTGGTTGCCTTTAAACAGGACTTGGAGGAGAAAACCCTGTTTCTTGAACTTTCAAGAGAAGGGGATGAAGAGTGCTCTTAAACCCCAGGTAATTCACAGAAATCTATCCCTCAACATAGCTTCAAATCTAACTTTCTTTGCTTCTTCCTGACAGTGCAGTTGAGTTCAGAACATTTTTTTTTGTTCCTCAAGCAGAGCCTCTCAGTGATAAGCTATGAGATCTTCTCAGAACACCGCATTTTTAAGTACCCAATGGCATCACTGAGCCCAGTCAGTGAGTAGGTATGTGCCCAGGATAATGACAATAGATTTTTTTTTCTTATTTTTTACTTTTGCTACCACTCTGCAGGGGAAAAAAAAATCACGTAGCCTGGCCAAAAGTCTTCATTTCTCACCTACTGTCTGCCTTGTCTATTTTTTCACACACTATCTGTGCAGCACCTACCACACTGGAATCAAAAATTTGGTTGGAAGCCTTGGGCACTAGACTTTCCTGAATATTTTGAAGAATGTATTACTTAATAAATTACAAAAAGAGAGACAGTTACAAAAAACTAACTACTTTTAAATTTGGTAAACGTTTCACGTTCTTAAATGCTACCCTGTATTTTCCAGCACAAACACTTGAAGATTTTTCAAATGGTTCAAATATTACAGATTTGAAAACTAAGCTGGATTTAATTTCCAAACTGTTCTTTATAGTGGTTAAGACCTGAAACAACAGCCATGAATTAAACTAAATATTTTTTCAGGATTAGGAGAATGATTTCTTCATTTCAGTGAAAAGAGCCAGAACATCTTCAATCTAAACTGATTCCTCCCTCCACCTTTTTAGTTCAGCTAAATTTAGATGATACTATTGCATTCCATATATTTAAAAACCAAAAGAAGCCATCCCAAAAATAAATATAGAGGTGATGAGCAAATTGTCTAGGAGTAAGCCTGAATGAGAAAAATAATCTATTGTCCCTCTGTCCACAAATTAGCAACAGACTTTAATAATCCCTTCCCAGCTCTACTGTAGTCTTTTGATGAAAAGTTTCTTCTGCAGCATTCTCTGCGTCTGATTAACTACTTAGTGAAAGAGTCTCTCTGGCTGGATCCAGTCAAATCCCAACCATGTCAGCTTGACTCATTTGATGTGAAACTGTTGCTCTTTAAAAAAGAAGTAAATACAATTAAAGATTGGCAGAATATTGTACCTGCTGACACCACTGATCCTCTGCTGATGCAACACCCCTCCATGATGCATTTCACACAAATAACCACTTGCCCTTGCCAGGCAGAAGGTAACAGAGAAGTGACTTAAAAATTACTGAGCAACTCAAGAAAGCTAATAACTGCACTTGGCAGGCAGGAAAGAATTTGGCAACTTAAAGCAGGCTTGCTCCTATGCGGTGGTATTCACTGGTTTCTTTGGTTGGGCATGCAAGATATATGCACAACTGATCTGTATAAGAACATTCAAATATAGAAAGTAATGGAAGTGAATAAGACAGACAAATGAGCATGTAAACGCATACACAGCTCAGTAAGCCTTTTTCCTTAAGAGGTGTTGGAAAGTGACCTACCACCCTTCTCGTAAAAGAATGAGCTCTGCTTGTGAATGGCATGCAATACTCCCTTGTAATGGAAAACTTTGTATGCCAGCCCTTGCAGGACTGTTACACAGCTGGTTTCTCAATCTCCAACCCAGCTGGGAGAATTAGCCAGAGGTTTGCCCTAACAGGGACTAACAAGGATGGCATTGTGCTGTTTAACCAGCCACACCAAAGCTCAGCTTTACGCAGGCTTGGGCAGCTAGCACACATGTTGTGTAGGGTGGCAGCACCTCCAGAGCCAGCTGAGTGCTCTGAGGCTGTGCCTGCACCTCTTCTCCTCAGATGCTCAACCTCCGCAAAAGCAAGAGACCGCCCTATATTTCAATACCCTCAGAGAAAGAAAAGCCTATTGTACCTCACTAAGCTTTCTTTTTGTGAAGAGCTCATGCTTTTCAGGCATAGTAGTCACCCATCTCTTCTGGTACGAAACACAAAGCTTAGGACAAGAAATACACCTCATTCATCAGACAAGGTTACACCAATGGCCTTGTACTTCGGTTCCATTGGCTTTCAAGAATTAACCTCACCAGTATGTAAGTATCACATGGCGTCATGGCTCTTTCTTTTAGTCTAAGTAAATCCACACCCACAGTCACCATCTAACATTATAAATTGGTCTGTTAATACAGTTATGGAACTGTGTTTGGAGCGTGAGATAAGCAAGACAGCTACATACCCAAATAACAGATTCAAAAGTAGTCCAAGTAAATCCACATCCATAGTCACCACCTAACATTATAAATTGGTCTTTTAGTACAGTTATAGAACTGTTTTTAGAGCACGAGATAAGCAAGACAGCTAAATACCCAAATAACAGATTCCAAAGAGCGCTGTGGTCTGCAGGGCAAGTATAATTTGTAAGGGTTGAATCCCACTTCTTGCCAGCCCTTATGGAGTTAATGCAGGTTTACGTGAAATGCAGTCAACCCTTTGTGATGTTTATCACATCCACAATGAGGGAAAGACCCAAGTAAATCTCGAAGAAAGAACTGTTTATCTAGTTTTGGTGGAAAAGAGGCAGACAGAGAGAAAGCTGAAGGGGAAAGAAGAGGAGAAAGAAACATCTCTCTTATTTGTAGAAATGAAGTCTTCAGATTCCCGGAGGACAATCAAGAGGCAGAAATTAGCGCCATCAACTAATTGCTCATACAGTCCAGGTGCTCTAGTTTGGACTTCAGTGTCTACCTCTCCAGGAGGGTTTCAGATGGCCCAATAAGTTTTTTCTCATCTCCTCTTTTTCTGTTTGGAAAATCTCCCCCAGTAATCCTTAATTATTGAAACGACCTTTCAGTATCTGA